ATTCCGCGAAATTTTCATATCCGCTCAATTTCGCATCCAAACATCAACAAAATAGATATCGAGTAAAAATAAATGATAAAAATCTGTCGGATTGATGAATACAGATCCATTACGTTCGAAAATTACTTTGTTTATAAAAACACAATCAAGAAAACTGACTTTATCTGATACAGTGAGTCAAGTGTTTCGTGTTGAAATATCTATCTTCATTTGATTTATCAAACATCTGGCCTTGATAAGCGTTTTGAGTCGGTCAACCAGATAAGTCAGTTGAACATTTCTCGATCTATTGAATACTATCACTCTAGTCAACTAGTGAGTAATTTTAGGTGGAATTCTTAGCCTGAAAAAAATACGTTAAATTCATGTAATTTTCACGTATTTTCTCGATTGCATTATTATTATTATTAATATATGATAAGAATATAGTTTTAAGGAATGCTATATTTACAGAGTAAAAGTGCACAAAGTGCAGAATAAACTGTCAGAAATAATGTGAATACTGATGTCAACATCGTGTGACAATAGTCTGCTTCATGCTTGAACGCAATCTTCAGGCTAGATAGATAGATAGACAAACAGACAGATAAATAGATATGAATATATCACAACAGATAGATAAACAGATAGATAGACAGACAGACAGTTCTCAATATAGCCTATATATATATATATATATATATATATATATATATATATATATATATATAATATAAATGGACATGGACAAAAGCCCGACAATTTATTTATTAAAGACATTTTTATGTTTAACGTTCTTTTTTTATAGATACAAGTATTTAAGTAAATGCTCTGTTTATAATAAACAGTATTAAGTAACATTTACCGGCCTGAATATAGGATGCAGGTTGAGAATCCTGTCAAAGGACGAATATTTTCTATGAAAATTTCTCGGACATTCAGGCCGGTAAATGTTATTTAATACTGTTTATAGATAGATAGATAGAGAGAGAGAGATCTGAACATAGCCCAATATATATATATATATATATACATTGTCACCCACAGACAGTTTCACTGTATCACAGCTCATCAGTGTGGCTAGACGTCCGGTTTCCTCTTGTTAGGACCGAAACCCGACTGAATTGGCGCCAGTCGGAGATTCTACCACTAATCCGTTGGCGCACGGAAGGGATGAAGGCGAATTTAAGCGTATTTATTTTTAGATAAACACACAGCGACTGAGAGAACTCAATTCGATTTAACGAGGAGTCTTGCATTATTAGCCGTAATAGTCACTGTTTACAAACCCACACTTCCTCTCCAGACAGCTCTCAACCGAAATAAATTTTTTAGGAGCATATATATTATCATCCACAGACAGACTGATAGATAGATAGACAGACAGATAGATAGATATAAACAGCCTTAGATAGATAGATAGATAGATAGATAGATAGATAGATAGATAGATATGACTATATCACAAAAGATATATAAATAGATAGATAGACAGACAGATCTGAACATATATATATATATATATATATATATATATATATATATATATAGATAGACAGGAATAAAGGTTCAAATGACTTATCATCTGCCTTTCGCAGAAACAGTGTCCCCATCGTCGTGATTTGATAAATCTGCACATCATTAAAAGAAATTGATTTTATTATCGATTTAACTATTTAACATTTATTTATATATATATATATATATATATATATATATATATATATATATATATATATATATATATATACGTACATATGTGTGTTGTTAAATTTGCTGATTGATAATGGACTAATTTTTAAAAAATGCAATTAAAATGTTCAGGATAAAGCTAATGCAAACATTTGTTTCTTGAATTTGAGATTAATATTAAGAGTCCTACAAATGGCGAGCGATGATGAAAGTACCCGAGCAATACAAGACAATTTTTACGTGAAAGTTGGTCCGGATGTGAGATGAGAGAAAGTATTTTCAAACTGGAAACAAATGAAAAAACTAAACATAAAAAAACATTGAAACGAAGAGAACTTGTGTGTCTATTTTAATAAAAACAAATTCTACACACACACACGCGCGTGCACGCACACACAAATGAACAAACACACACACAGCAACACACGCACACACAAATGAACAAACACACACACACAGAGACACACACGCACACACAAATGAACAAACACACACACACACACAGACACACACGCACAAACAAATAAACATTTTCGTTTTTGCCTCGAATTGCTTACTTGCAACTTCATCCAGTTCATCTGATTCTTTCATTCTGCTTTTAGTTTCAATCGATCGCTCTCTCTTTCTCTCTTTCCCCCTCTCTCCCCCCTCTCTCTCTCCCCCTCTGTCTCTCTATTAATCTCTTCTCTCATAGATTTTTTTGATAGCTAGCTGCATAGATAGACATGAACATACAATAATAGACAGACAGACAGACAGACAGATAGATAGATAGAACGTACTACAATAGATAGATAGATAGATAGATAGATAGATAGATAGATAGATAGATAGATATGAACAGACTGAGAAAGAAAGAAAGAAAGAAAGAAAAAGAAAAGAAAAGAAAATGGACAGTTTCTATATGTCTATCTATATAGATAGATAGATAGATAGATAGATAGATAGATAGATAGATAGATAGAGAGAGAGTGAGAGGGAGAGAGAGATAGATAATGAACATACCGCAACAGATAGATAGATAGATAGATAGATAGATAGATATGAACGTACTACAATAGATAGATAGATAGATAGATAGATAGATAGATAGATAGATAGATAGATAGATATGAACGTACTACAATAGATAGATAGATAGATAGATAGATAGATAGATAGATAGATAGATATGAACAGACTGTGATAGATAGATAGATAGATAGATAGATAGATAGATAGATAGATATGAACAGACTGAGAAAGAAAGAAAGAAAGAAAGAAAGAAAGAAAAAGAAAAGAAAAGAAAATAGTTTCTATATGTCTATCTATATAGATAGATAGATAGATAGATAGATAGATAGAGAGAGAGAAGAGTGAGAGGAGAGATAGATAGATAATGAACATACCGCAATAGATAGATAGATAGATAGATAGATAGATAGAATAGTACTACTACAAATAGATAGATAGATAGATAGATAGATAGATAGATAGATAGATAGATAGATATGAACAGACTGAGAAAGAAAGAAAGAAAGAAAAGAAAAGAAAAGAAAATGGACAGTTTCTATATGTTTCTTTCTTGCGTGCGCTTGTATGTCTGGTGATTTTTTTCTTTCTTTCTTTCTGCCATTGCTATTTACATGACACTGAACGATGTCAGCAGGTGTTATTAGAAAATGTTAAGTGAATTGACCTCTCTGAAAGATGGGCTTTTATTCTGACGGGTTGAATAGACGCTGATTGGGTCTACAAAATTCGCAGCAGGTGATGTACAAAGAGGGCGCAAAGTCTTGCGCGAAACACGTTCCTTCGCTTGACACCCTCTGGTGGAAGACTTTCAGGAAGGAAGAGAAATTAGATTACAAGCAATCGTTGTCGTGGATCGATCCGTAAACCTCGATTTTAAATGAATAGAATAAATAACCTGTCTCTTCTTATTTGATGTAAGAGTAAATCGGTTCGAGCGATCCTTGACGTACGTTTTATTAAAGGATTATGGAATTTTCTCAGAGGAATACCTGTTGTCAATGCCGTTTTAAGACCGGCGATTTTTATTTTTTCTCTTTTTTTCTCTTTTTTTTTTAAGTATTTATTCATTCATTTTTCATTTTGTGTATTTATTTTTGTAAGTCATCGTTCGGTTTTTCCCTATGAAATTAAGAATCTTGCTTTCATTTTATTTCCCTGTGTTGCTTTTATTTTTTATATTTGCTTTGAATGTTTACGCGCAGTATTCCCTCTCTCTCACTCTCTCTCTCCCCCTCTCTCTCTGCTGTATACTCTGTTGCAGTTTTTCTTTATTTCTCCCTTCTTTATCTTTCATTCACCATTCCTTCACACGTTCATTCTTAACAAAATTGTTTTATTACCCACGTTATTTGCCTTATTTCCTTTTTCTTAATTTTTCATTTGTCTTCCTTCTCTATTCCGTATTTTTTTCTTTCTTTCTTTCTTTCTTTCTTTCTTATTTCTTCTCTCTCTTTCCTTTCTTCTCGTCTTTTCTAACTCTCTATTTTTCGCATTTCTTTCTTTCTTTCTTTCTCCTCTCTCTTTTCTTTCTTCCCGTTTTTCCTCTCTATTTTTCACCTTTCTTTCTTTCTTTCTTTCTTTCTTTCTTTCTAGCCACATTTTAGTTCATTTTTTCTTTCCTTTGTTTTCATTCAATCTTTCGTCTCGTTTCATTTTTATTCTATTTTTAACCACCGTATTTTTCTTTCTTTTCTTTTCTTTTCTTTCTTTCTCAGCACTTTTTCTTTTTTAACTGTACTTACATTTTAGATTTCCATCTTTTTTTTCCTTCTTTCTTTATTTGGTCAATTTCTTTCTATTTTTGACTTTCTTTCTTTTCCACTTGTCTTACATTCTTTTATCATTCCATCTTTATTTCATTAATTCTTTCTTGGTTCTCTTTCTTTTTTAGGTCTCCTCATTTTTTCTTTCTTTCTTTCTTTCTTTCTTTCTTTCTTTCTTAAATCTCTTTCCTTCTTTCTCTATTTGCTTTATTTCTTTCGTTCTTTTTTTCTTTCTTTCTTCATTCCTTTCTCTATTTATATCTTTTCTTCTTTCTTTCAACCTTTCTTTTATTAGTATTTCTTTCATTATTGCTTTCTTTTTTTTCTTTCTTAGGTTTTCTTTCTTTTTTCTTAGGTCTTTTCTTTCTTTCTTTCTTTTTTCTTAGGTCTTTCTTCCTTTCTTTCTTTCTTTCTTAAGTCTTTCTTTCTTCCTATCTCTATTTGGTCTCTTTCTTTCTCGATTTATATTTTTCTTTCTTTATTTCTTTAATTATTCTTTCTTTGTTTCATTCATTCATTCTTAGCTCTCATTCTTTTTTCTAATATGTTTTTGCGATATTCGTTTCATTCCTTCCTTATTTCTTACTCATAACCTCCTTTCATTTTGTTTCCCACTGGACATCGCCTATCTCTTCTGTATTATTCATTTTTCTTACCCGATTTCTTGAAAGTTTCTTTTTAATATATCTTATTTTTCTTTTCGTTCATTCTCTTTCATTCTCTATTTCCTTCCCTAATTCTTTTACTGATATTTCTTTCCCTCGTTCTTCCATTTTTGTCGCTTTCATTTCTTATCTTTCTTTTATAACGCTATACCATTCATTCATTCATTCATTCATTTTCATTGTTTGTTTGTTTCTTTCTTTCTTTCTTTTTTAACCTGTCTTGTTTTTCTTTCTTTCTTTCTTTCTTTCTTTCTTTCTTTCTTTCTTTCTTTCTTTCTATCTTTCTTTCTTAACCTGTCTCGTTCTTTCTTTCTTTCTTTCTTTCGTAACCTCTCTCTTTCCATCTGTCTTTTCTTTCTTTTCTTTCTTTTTCTTTCTTTCTTTTTTCTTTCTTTCTTTTTCCATCTTTCTTTTTTCTTTCTTTCTTTCTTTCTTTCTTTTTTTTTCTTTCTTAATCTCTCTTTCCATCTGTCTATCTATTTTCATTTTTCTCTTCTTTTCTTTCCTCTCTTCTCTTTCTTTCTATTTCTATTATCTATCTATCTATCTATCTATCTATCTATCTATCTATCTATTTCGATCTCCTGTGTCATTATCCTGTCAATCTGTATTTATTTTATCGCTCTTGTTTATTCAACCTTCCAACTTATTTCTCTGTATTTTCCTCTTAGGCGTCGTTCCGTTTTTTCCTTCGTCTGTTTTTATCTATTTCCCAATTAAGTTACAAGTCTTTTTGTCTTTTTCTTCATCCTATTTTACTCTTTCCTTCCACTTCACTTTCTTCCTCCGTCATCTAAAGCCATTTTACATTTTTTTCCCCGCTCCCAGCTTCTCGTCCTTTAAAATCTTAAGAACACAAGACATGCAGATGACACAGTGTTGATAGCAGACACAGAAAGGAAACGAAAGAATTCCTGCAGAAGGTAGTGAGGAAAATCTCCTGTCTAAACATTATCCAGAAGACAGAATTTATTTTAACGGAAGGGACAGTCCATCCTGCAAATTACAAGTTAGAGAAACCAAAATCTGACAAATACAATAATTTAAATATCCGGGAATTGTTTTAACAGAGGAGGTTTCCAACACCAAAAGGTCATTGAATATTTTATCAAAGTATTAAGAACAAGAAGAAAAAAATCATTTTGTCTTTGAGCTTCATAATATTTTCCTCTAATCCTTCAGTGAATGCTGGATAATTTCCTCCAGATGAAGAAAGGCCATTTTAAATTTTTTTATCATAGACCTAACAAATGTTCTCAACAGCGTCCTTAAAAAAAATCATATATTTAAGGAAAGACAGACAGGGCAGATGAAAAAGAGGCCTTGATAGCAGACACAGAAAGGAAAACGACAAGAATTCCTGCCGAGTTTGTGTAAATGGCTGACAAGACAGTGTTTAGGGGCGATAATAAAAAGACAAAATTTATTAAGAGCTACAAAGGATAGAAATTGTGGAGAGCCATGACCTTCAGCGGACACGGCATATAGAAGAAAAAGAAGAAATAGCTTGTGTAAATGGATGTCAGAACATTGTTTAGGAGAGATAACAAGAAATCCAAATTGATTGTGCCATAAATGACAAGAAATTGTGGAGAGCCATGACCTTCAACGTCCTTAAATGGAGACGGTACATAGAAAAAAAAAAGAACAAGATTGTGTAAATGGATGTCAGAACAGTGTTTAGGAGAGATAAGAATAAGTCAAAAATTATTAAGAGCTACAAATAACAGGAAATTGTGGAGAGCCATGACCTTCAACGTCCTGATTGGACATGCCACATAGAAAAAAATGCAGAACGAGCATGTGTAAATGGATGTCAGAACGTTGTTTAGGGGCGATAACAAAAAAGTCAAAATTTATTAAGAGCTAAAAAGAACAAGAAATTGCCGAGAGCCATGATTGCGTACGTCTTGAAGTGACACGGGACATAGGAGAAGAAATTTGAATCTAAAAGGGTTGCCGTGTAACTGACCAGTGCCCACCATTTGTCTCATTTTTGTTCCAATAAAGGTGTCTCTGCAAATGAGCTTCCATTTTACCAAGTGACGTTTTCAGCACATTTTTATTTACGGCTTACTACTTCTTTTGCTCCACGACTTGGAAAATCAGATACTCCCAGGACAGATTGAAAGCAAGAGGGACAGAGGAAAACAATGCATAACCTACAGAGCTTATATAAATGGATGGGCGAGAAAAGTTATGTGGAGATAAGAAAAAAGACTAAATTTATTAAGAGCTATAAAGGTCAGGAAGTTGTGGAGAGTCATGTTCGCTCGCGTCCTGAAGAGATACAGCATATAGAATGCGTTCCCAACTCTTTCCATGTCCGCGTTAATTTTATGTCTATTCACTTTGCCTTCCGTGTATTTCTTTTAGGCTTTTTTCTCATTTGTTGTTGAATTCTCTTCCTCCTTCTCGTTGACCTTCCACTCTCTCTTCTTTTCCAAGATTTGTTCATTCTCCTCTTTCTTCTCCTCTTCCTTCTCCTCTTCCTTCTCCTCTTTCTTCTTCTCTTCCTTCTCCTCTTCCTTCTCCTCCATCCTCATTTTCCTCACGTCTTTTTCACTTAATGTCTTTCTTTTCTTTTTTCATTCGTTCGATCTGTTAATTTTGGGATTTGTGTTTGGGATTTAATGTATTTTCCTGATTAAATTTTGATTAGATTTCCTTACCATGATATTCATTTTAACGTACCGACCCTTTCTCTGACCGCCCAAATAAGCAGCATAAAACTGGATAAAAAGCAATAATTTGTACTTAAAAGGAGATTATATATATATAACTTTCATCTGATCATCTAGATTGACGCTACATAATCCCGAAAAGCATCACCAAATTAATAAAACAACCCACATCACTTGAACATTTTCAGTAGCAGCAACAACTAAAATATATATTTTCAGAATAAAAAAACAGTTTTATAACAATGAAATATGTTGGCGTTCCACACTGCCTTAAACAAAAGGTTAGGAAGGAAACTCCCATGAAAACTAGAAAGAGCGATAACAGTTAGTGGACTTGAGAAATCTAGTTTCCTTGAAATGCTGTTTTAATAGAGATGTCTTTTTAAGTCTCAATCATATCACCAGGAAACAGCAATTGCCGTACGATCACCGAAGTTAATCAACGTCGACCTTGGTCAGTACCTAGATGAGTGACCGCTTTTTACATGATTTATGTCCAAAAAAAGAATAATGGAAGCATTATTATTAAAAAACGAAAAAAAAGCCAACACTCAATAATATCAATTATAAACACCGCCACAATGTGCTGGCCGTGTTTGGAAAATAAAATCTTCCTATGACTCGAGACACATACATACATAAAACAATCCATATATTCAGTTAAAAGTAAAGAGAAAATTATCCTATCACTATCTATAAAAGGCAGGATGTGTGTGTGTGCGTGTAACGAATGCACGGCCGCAATTTTCGGCGGATTTGCACCAAAATTTACATGCACATGCTCCAAGTAAGCGACAAGGCTAAGACCGACGCTGCATTTCCCAACTCCCATCGATAGTGGAAATAATCGATTTTTTCATGCTTCTACGGCAGTTTTCATATAGTTTGTGGCCATTTTGCACTGGCCAGAGTGAGAGCCTATAGGTGGCTGCCACGAATAGGCAGGAAGACTCTATTAGCCAGCGTGAGAGCCAACAGCTGACTGACACGAATGTTAACTAGCATGCAAAAAAAATCAATAGCTGCATTCGTCACAAGTGGGAAAAATTTAAATCTGCATGGCAATTTACTCCAATTGGCTCATTCGCTTGGTTAAACTCAAAGTTGATTCTGATTCCGCAGAACTGGGTTGTGTTTGAAAAAGTATTTGTTGTTAACATTCTTTTTTCATTCGATTTTTCCAGTTACGAGTCCTTTTTTAAAGCTGATCGTTTTGTGTTCATTTTGTTTAGTTCTTTTTTCGTAACAGATTTAATGTTTAGTATAGAGCTTAGAAAAAATTCGCAGTGTGAGATTGGTAAGAAGTAAGGCATTTAGCAACATCAACATGGCAAAGGGCACTCCTTTAAAGGCAAGGAAGGGCAAAAATATTTTAAGTCAAGTGATAGCGATTGCTGTATGAGTTGTACGATTTTTGAATCAAGCACGGGCAACACCGGGTCATGCTGCTAGTTAAAGTATAACGGAAAGCGCTCAGAATTACAGACCATTTCTATGATTTATACATAATTTATGTCCAGAAAAGAAAATTATAAGGCAAAAAAATTAAATAAAAAACTTAACCGGAATAAATTTTCGAGTCGACTTTAATGAAACTTGTATAAAAGCGAGATTGCTGGCCAAATACACAATTCTATATATATATATATATATATATATATATATATATATATATATATATATAATAAAATGAACATTGAAGTTACCATCCAGAAGTGACGGACGGTTTCATGCTAAAAACAATCACCAGGCTTAAAACTAACACATAAAAAATTATGGAAAACGTGAACGCAATACCTTATCAGTAATTATATATATATATATATATATATATATATATATATATATATATATATATATAGAGAGAGAGAGAGAGATGTATATATATATAGATGTATAAATTAAGAATACACCATAAAAATCCATAATGGTTATAATTCATTTCATGAATATTGTTATATTCATCCTTTCAGACCCTCTTCAGATTATGTATTTTTAAGGTGTTTTCTTAATTTATCATTATATATTGCTCTGTAA